TGGTCATGATTGATTTCCCAGGTATAACTTATTTTGAAATTACTGGCTTCAACAACTACTAACCTTGGAGCAAAAGAAAAATTACTTCTGATTGCTATCATAAATTCCTTCTGAACAAGAAGACCAGTGAGGTCAAGCATGCTGGGAAGCCATGTAATATAGAAGGATATGTTGGAAGCAGGATGGAATTATTTCAATTAGACTAGAAAGCAACTGGTTTGGCCTCTTGGTGTTTTGAAGGATTGGTTCCTGGTCACCCTGGGAATAAAAAATTCTGAGGATACTGAAGTTGCTGGCTGCTCAAATGCATCATATAAAATAGCATAAGGTTGCATACATCTTGACACATTTTCTTGCATACTTTGCCATCTCTGCACTATTTAGGATATCTAAACAAAGTAAGTACTATGAAAGTACTCGTTGAACAGTGTTGTTCAGGGGATAACGACTAGAGTATTCAGTGTACTGAATTTGAAATGTGTTTTGGATTCTTGTTTGGTTGAATTCATGCATTCAGTAGATATGCATATAGATGCAGATATGGATGGACAAATGGTCTACCTCTGCTCTTGTGTGCTATCATTTAATTTGAACTTATAAAGAAAGATTTTTGTTAAAAAAGGTTCACCAACAAAGACTTTTGGCTGTCCTTACTGTTTCTACATTCATTGCATTTCCACATCTGGTGGGATTACTCAATACTTATCATGTGATATGTAATATCAGAGACTTGACAGATTTATGAAGAGTTCTGTTTTTCTTTTTTCTCCTCTTCCTTCCTTCTCTCTCTCTCTCTCTCTCTCTCTCTCTCTCTCTCTCTCTCTCTCTCTCTCTCTCTCTCTCGCAGGGTATTGCTATGTGGCCCTGGCTAGCCTAGTATTTAATATGTGGCTCTGGCTGACCTTGAACTCACACAGCTCTACTTGCCTCTGCCTCCTGAGTGCGGGGATTTAAAATTTACAGCACCACACCCAGCATGAAAACATTTTTCCGTGGTAGTAAGAATTCCTGTACTTCTTCTAAGTTAGCACACAGAATGATAAGTTTAATTATGGAATGTGAATACTACTATATTTTGTTTTTATTTGTCTCTTTCCTACATGACACCTCCGTCCCCCATCCCTTCTGTCCTTGTCTTTGTGTGCCTTCTCCCACTTCACCCTTCCATTATCTGCTCACCCCGCCCTCCCACGCTTCCCAATGATATTATCTATAACTTTGTATATATGGCAGTTTTGGTTTGCTGCTTAGAAAAATTTCATGAAGTATTCTTGAGAGAAAATTGGCTCGTGTAATTAGGTACCATTTTATCTGTGAATAGAAAACCCCAAACCTGACAATTTAGGAAACTGTGACTCAAATTGTATCTCAAATAGTTTTGGGATTTGGGGATGGGGGGGGGGGCGGCAGGGCGGACAGAGTTTCACACCATAAGCCTAGGCTGGCCTTGAACTTGAGGCGATCCTCCGTCCTCAACCCCTCATATGCTGGGAATATAGAGTGAGCACTCACAGTCACTTCTTCTTGATGAATTCTGATTGTTCCTAATTTAAGTGATAAGCAGATAAATATAATATTATTTGTAAAGTCACAGCAAAGGTGTTGTTTGGTTTTTGTTTGTTTAAGTAGATGTAGTGCTGACAGCTTCCTGTGGGGTGGAAAGTTATCTGAATATGAGCCTAAAGGGTGTGAACTAACGCATTGTTGATAGGTATTGTGCATTCAGAATCCTGGAGAAAAATTAGATAGCGCACAGCATTGCTTGTCAAAGAGACTTTTAAATTAACAATTAAATTGTTATTGAGGAGCACAGAGTTCGCACCTACTTAATCCCTTCCTAGTATACAGTAGAGGCATAGTGGGTCCCTTCTCATTACCATGGGGATCTTTCCCATGGAGTGCTATGGCCAGCGAGCAGGACCTCTGAAAGCCATCTGTGTACTTCTCTTTATAACTCTATGCTCAGGGTCTGCAATTCTGGTAGCCTGTTTCCCATATTGGAGATATTTTCCCCCAAGGACTTGGCAAATGCTAACAAATCAAGTGTCTTCCAGAGTTGGCTGTTAAGCGCTTGTTGGCACATCAGTGGCTCCTTTCTGCTACCCCCAGTCATTCCGATGCCTTCATTTGAGTGCCTGTGGCAACCAGGGAACACTAGGCATAGTTTCCTCTGTAGCTTGAACAAGTTGTGAAACCTCTCAAATACCCAATCTCTTCCTGAATAAAATGGAATTTATAGAAGACACCCCCATACACATCCAACTAGGCTCCTGAAGGTGAAATTACAAATAGTAGAGTAGATATAAAACCACGTCTGGTGCATAATTAATATTCTATTAGTAATATATATTAGGTCTTTTTTTCCAGAGTCTTCTGGAGCTCAAGCTGTCCCTGACCCATAGCTTTCCTGGACGTCCCAAGTGCTAGGATTACAGATGTGTGTCCACCAAATCTTGACTAGTCTTTCTTGGGGTGGGAAGTGAGAGTCATGCATTCAATAAACACATATGTAAATATGTTATTTAGAGAGTGCTTTATGTCCTGCCTGTAGGCATGGGTTTGTTTGTTCATCTATTTATTTATTGTCCTATTTTCAGTTGAGACCTTCACATTAATCACAGGCTCCACCGACGAGCTACATCATAGCTATATGGTTTGAAATAGATAAACAAGAATAAAGTACCATTCTGAACCTCTGGCCTTTCAGATCACATGTTTGATGCCATGTGGACCGTACATACAGGCTTTTGATGTGTATTTTGGTCTGCCATCAATAGAGGAGTACCCAAGTCTAGTTGTCTCATGATCTTTCAGAATGTTTTTATCCCCTAGCCACACACTTTCTTGAATATAATCCCATTAGGTCATTCCCTTCACTTTCCAAACACAGGCACACATCTACTCTAGCTCCTGTCCCTAGCACACCTAAGGCCTAAGGTGGTCATGAGTGACAAGCACTGTGCCGTGTCTCACTGGGGGTTGCTTTTTCACACCCTCAGGCAGAGACAGGAAGGCTTGATGTTCTCATCAGACTAATCGTCTGGCAAATGTGTTGCCTAACGGCTGCCTCTGCCACATTCTCTTCCTGGCTCTTCCCCCCACCCCCACCCCAAGTCCACTCATCCCTGGTTTCACGAGGGCACTCTGCATGTGGACAGCCTTCTCCAGGCCTCCTGAGTGTAGGAAGTAGAGTGTTCTGTCCTAACCGGGCTCTGATGCCAACAGGGAAACAGCAGGGAGTTGAGGTGTTCCTTACCAGCCACTCTTAGCCTCTTTAGATCCCTTTGAAAGTTAGAGGTTCCTGCTTTCTGGACACACCGGCTTCTTGTAGAGTTTTTCTTGCATGCTTGGCTTGTGTCCTTTCAAGGTGATCAGTTTTCAACATATACGTTTCAGAGCTGTTTTTTGTTTTTAAAGTGGAAGCAGCCTGAACCCTTGCAAGTCATTACATGCTGGGAGCACCTTTGTCATTCATTGTTTTACCCTGGAAAGGGTGCTTGTGAGCTGCTTGACATTTTTCAACCTGCCACCAACAAAAAGAAAACAGAACAGGCCAAGCACTTCCTATGAATGGAATTGGGCACCTGTGCGTGCAGTCTAACCCCGAGCCATAGTCTCACTCCTCAACACGCTTTCTGGGACACCTTAGTAACAAATTGCATCTAAGACCTTGTTGTTGTTGCTTGAGCCAGGGTTTCTCTGTGTAGTTTTGGAGCCTGTAGCTCTTGTAGACCAGGCTCCTCTGGAACTCACAGAGATCCACTGGCCTCTTCCTCCCAAGCACTGGGATTAAAGGCGTGCACCACCACAGCCTGGCTTGAAGACTTCCTTTTTTTAATAGGAACCTCTTTTTGTTAGGATAATTGACCCAATGGACATACCTTCAATATTCTAGCAGGCATGCTCAACCCATGGCCCTAGGGCTGCTCATAGCTGAGGACAGCTATGAATAAGGTCCCTTCCTGTGTGGTTTCCATATAGTACTCAGTAGTGATCAATAACATTGCTCAGCTTTTTGTTATTATACACAAATCCAACCATTATAGAGTGTGTATACGTACTTAATATCTCTACCATGGAATTTTCGAGCATATTGTTCAGTTACTTGTATTTTCAAAATAGTCTCATTCAATTCTTCTTATTGAGCTTACCCAGGTGGGGTTGTTTGAGAAACAGTCATGCTGTTTATTTTAAACATTGTCTAGCTTTTATCTCTGTGTGTGTCTTAGTTAAGGTTTCTATTACCGTGAAAAGGCACCATGACCATGACAACTCTTATAAAGGAAAACATGCTTACAGTTCAGAGGTTTAGTCCATCCCAGTGAAGAGGTAGCTGAGTGTCCTTCATCTTGGCTTCCAGGCAGCAGGAAGTGGTCATCTCAATGGGTGTGGCTTGAGTATATGTGACTTTAAAAGCCCACCTCCTCAGCGGTACACTTCCTCCCACAAGACCACACCCACTCCAACCTGTTAATAGTGCCATTCCCTTTGGAGGTTTTTTTTTTTTTTTTCAAACTGCTACAGTGTGTATAGTGTCTTCATGTATGGTGTGAGTTTGTGTGTATGGGCAGGTGCAGATATGAGTGCTTTTGTCTGTGTGTGTGTGTGTGTCCGTGTACTCTTCGTCTGCTTCTCAAGACAAGATCTCTCACTGATTCATCTAGGCTGGCTGGAGAGCCAGAGAGTTCCTCAGGATTGCACTTGTGAGATTCCATATCTAGATTTTCCATGTAGGTTCTGGGAATTGAATTCAAGACCCCTTTACTGACAGAGCTATCTCCCTATCCCTAAATGTCACCTTTTTTTTTTGTAGAAAAACAAATTTTAGGTTTTTTCAGAGCCCAAACAAAATACTTTAGGACAACTTCAGCTGGTGCTGTTGAAATTCAGTGTCTGAACACCTAGGAAAATCAGTATGAGATGGAACAGTTATCTGTCTGAGGGTTGGAATTGAAATTCCTTTTTAAATAATTCAGAAATTGTATTTTGTTCCTTCTCAGTGACACAGGAACCACACCTCCAGAAAGTGGTATTTTTGGATTCATGATAAACTTCTCTGCATTTCTTGGTAAGTACACGATTGTTATAAATGAGAAATGTAGAGTCTTATATGAAATAGAATGTTATTTATAGTTTGTGTACATTACAAACAAGCACAACTTTTGTAACTAGCATGTTGCACTACTTTGAAACACTAAAGCATATAAAAGAAAATCCAAAATTATGTGTAGCCTCATTGTAGAACTATACTTTATCTGGTAACAGAATTTGCAAGAGGTGGCTTTAAATCCCAAATTTCTGACATGGAGTTAAGATTTTTATTTTATGTAAAATTTATTTTTATTTGTGTGTGTGCATGTGCATGCACGCACATACATAGGCATGCATATGTCAGTGATTAATTTTCAGTACTTGTATGTGTACACAAACATGTATGTGTCAGTGCCCTTAGGGGAGAGGAAGTCAGATTCCATAGAGTTACAAGCATTTTTGTTTTTTGACAAGACCTTCTATGGTAAGTTACAAGTATTTGTAAGCCACTCAGTGTGGGTGCTGGGGTCTGAACTCCATTCCTCATGACAGAACAACAAAAATTTTTAACCGGTGATTCATTTCTCTATACTCCCATACTTGGGAGGCAGAGGCCAGCCTGATCTACAGAGTTAGTTCCAGGACAGCCAGGGCTACACAGAGAAACCCTGTCTTCACTGCTTCCCCCCCCCCCAAATCAATCCACAATCCACCACCACCAACAACAAAAACTGATTTGTAGCCAAGGCGCAGTGCATAAGGCAATGTTTTAAAATGTGTTCTGAGGGCAGCTTACCCAGAACCATATGGGTTAGAAGCATGTTCTGGAGCTACATAAGATCCACTCAGTCAAGAACTGTAATGGGACTCAGGAAATACATGGTATAAAAAACCACACGGAGCCAGGCTGTAGATCAGTGACAGAACACTTGCTTGGCATGTGGGCAGAGCTGGGTGTGTTCCATAAATCCAAAGCAAAACAGTTAGGGCACTTGGATGCTTTCTCCAGATTGGGAACCGCTGACTTGGGAGGAGAAACAGATAAAACCAGAGTAGTTTGTATCAGTCTCAGGTACAACTACTTTTTTCTTTTCCATTCCTCAGAAGCCAGGCAGAAATACATTATGGGATGCAATCTTGTCATGAGCCAATTAATGTCAGATGTGGAGTCCTCCATTCTCTTTTTATTCTCCGCCCAGTGGAGCCACCAGGGCCCATTGTGTAACCAACACCCTCTCTACCCCATAGAGGAGGCCAGAAGGACTTCTGGGAACCCTTCTGAAGGAATGGGCAGCTTTAGAATTTGTGCAATAAGTTTCACTTATTCACCCATTTGTAGGCTTTTCCAGCTGGGTTTGGAGGAGAGAACGGGGAGGAGAAAGAGAGGACCAGTTGGTTCCGATGCCTTTTTATGCATCTCTGCTGAGCCCGACCTGGGCAAATGGACACTTGTTTGACTATAATTAATGGTAGGTTCAGGGTTTAGACACAATGCATGACATGAATATATTCAATTTTGAAATTAGGATATGTGTTTAGTTTTAGCTTTTCCCCTTCTAGATGAAGTCTTGCTATATAACCAGGCCCACTAACATTTGTTGTGTAGGCCAGAGGTTGCACAGAACTTAGGATTCTTCCTCAGCCTTCTAGAGGCTGGGAGTAAAGCCATGTGCCACCACTCCTTGCTAGCCTGCTTTTTATCTACTTAGTTTTTACTTTTAAAAATTTTCAGATAAGGTCTCCTCTAGGTTTCCAAGTGTGGCCTTAACTGTGTAAACACACACACAGTCTACCTCATACAGCGAGGGCCACACATTTCACACACTTTGCAACCAGACCAGAAGAAAAAAGTTAATATTAGCAGTAGACAGAAGACTGACGTGCAGAACACGTCCAAGCCACTACAACTTGAACCCAAGGGGAAAATATGAAGGCAACATGGTCATGTGATTCTCAGAAGGCATACAAAAAGCCAAAATGTAATTTTCAAAAGGCAGAAACTGTTACCTCTCACTAATGAGGAAATACCAATTAAAGTTTTCTGTTTTCACTCCTTAGATGGCTGCTTATTGTAAAAGGTTATGTATGTAGTTTCTCTCTCTCTCTCACACACACACACAAAATAAGTGTGTGTATGTATGTACGTATATAATTAACCTTAGGATACTGCTCTGAAAATGTGCCCCAAACTTACAAATCAGAAATGTTAATGGAGTATTGTTTGTAGTTGGAAACCCAGGGGGCAAAGGAGAAACCCATCCATAATGGAAGGGTGAAATAAAGACAGGATCTCACACACTGAAAAGGACAGTGTAGGTTATTTAGCAGTGACTTGGAAGAATCTTCATGGTACATTATTAAGCCAGAAAAGCAAGTTGTAGAATAATGCATGGAGTGCAATGCCCTTTACATGTAAATAGCCAAGATGGAGTGTGTGCACTGCATGGGACAGAGAACAGGAACAGCAAACTTACAATCAGGACTTTTTTCTTTCTGGGAATCTGGGAGTCAGGCCCAAGGCCTCACGATACACTCCCAGCCATAATTAAGCAAGTATATAATATATACATATTTAAATAGAAGACTCACACCTGTTCTTACTTTTCATTAAAAGAACCGGGGGTTAACATTCACCAGACTGTACTCTTTTTGTTTTTCAGGTGCAGCTACGATGTATACGAGATATAAAATAGTGGAAAAGCAAAACGAGACCTGCTATTTTGGCACCCCCGTCTTTAACTTGGTGTCCTTGGTTCTTGGATTGGTGGGATGTATCGGAATGGGCATTGTAGCTAATTTTCAGGTATGGCCTGAGTGTTTTGGGGTGGTTGATGATGAAAGAGTCCAGGTGTGAGTAGACAAGCAAGAAGTCAAGAAACCAGCTTGTGCTGGGGCAGCCGTGAGATGGCCAATGAATTAGGATTGTGTCCATTGATTTTTAACGTGGTTGTCAGTCTTGCCTGGGCGTTGGGAGAGAAGGGGTTTATACGTGGAAGATAATGAGTGTGTGCCCCTCAAACGGTGCTACAGGCTCAGCGCCTTGTTTGCTCATTGTTTAAGACAGTTCTTTACCATCAGTATGACCCAGCTTGGCCTGGGACTTGTGGCAGTCATTTTAAACACACACTCTCTCTCTCTCTCTCTCTCTCTCTCTCTCTCTCTCTCTCTCTCTCTCTCTCTCACCCTTGGAACTGCTAACGCTTAGTTCTTCTGCCCCAACCTTCTGCACTCAGGGATTGCACTCAGGGATTGAGACATGGACTGCCATGTCTTCCCAGTTCATATCCTCGTAGTCTGAAGCAAGAGCTACTTTAGCTTTGCAAACGATTTTCCTCGTAGTAAATGTTTATGATTCTGCTGTTGGATCCTATCCATCTGGTATTCAAAGACAATCACCTGGCCCCTCCCTTTTGTAGATGAAGATTCGGTTTGTGGGGGTGAAATCATTTGTGCAGGTTTATTCAGTAAATTACTTTGCAGATTCAAATACGGCCCTGTCCCAGTAGCTTTACTTTCACTAATCTGAAGGCTCTTGGTTGCCCCGGCCAGCGGGGTCAGTTGTCGGGGACCCTGAGGGAGGGAGGGAGGGAGAATGAAGAGACAAGAGATTCGAGAGATGGAGACAAGACAGTATTCTGCTCAAATCTCCTTCAATGAATAGAATAACAGGGTTTAAGCGGTGGAGAAATGAGGGAATGGGCCAATGAGAGGGTGTGAGGGAGGCAGAACGTCCTTCCAAGCAGGATGCAGGAGTCCTGCTATACGATAAGCCTGCAGCTGGGACTCTTTCAGGGTCAGGCTGCATCATAGGAGAATGGAAAATTACCGGTATGTTAGTTTCTAAGAGAGTAGTAGGAAGGAAGGCTGTTAAGATGGTAATGTTGCTCTGGGGTTTCCCATACTTGCTCACAATCTTTTCCAAGGTAGCATTTGGTTTGTCTATGGAGAAGCTATTTAATATCTTAGAGAAATCTGTGGACTTCATGTTCACACTTCTGATAGTACCCAGCTCGTGGATGCTGTTGCAAGGATTGGATCAGATAATCAGTGAATAACCAACAGTCTGCACTTAGTGGCTGTCATCGTAATAGCCATGCACTCCACTCCTTGTGTCCCTGTGAGAGCAGGCAGGGTTACCACAGGAAGCCTTGCGTTGTGCCCAGGAGAACCTCTAACCTTCTCCCCACTGGCAATGACCTTGTATGATGCTTGTTTTTTACAAAAAGATGGCGGGCTTCACTCTAGCTGGCTGATCGAGCACATGTCATACACTGGAATCAGCACATACCTCCTACGCCACCTGCTGTCCATACATTCTCTAATGTCTTCCTGTAAGTAAGGAGTGGATGGTCCGAGTGGCCTCAGCCTGACATGAGCCTCAAAGGCTCACTATCTCCACACTCACTAAGGGACACGCCCTCTCTTAGCATTGGCGGGGAGGGGTGGGGTGGGGGGAGGAGCTTAGAGTGATGAGCATCATCGAGGTGTGACTACAAGGGAGGGACACATTTTATCATATCACTTTCTCCTCTGAATAACACCCTAAGCTGTAAGTGCCACTTTTAAAATCAGAAAGGACAGGCTTTATGAGGAAAATGTAGATGTTTAGAGAATGGATTTTTTAAAAAAACGCTCCTTTAAGGCTTTCTTGAACCTTACAAACATCCAGACACAGGATCTTCACGACTTCCGTGGGAGTCAACTGTTTGCCTTGTCCGAGCTCTCCAGGTTTTCATCCGGCTTCCTCGTGTGAGGTCCGGTGGTTCGTTTTAGCATGCTATAAGCCCTGAACCCGAAGAATCCCAGGTTTGAGGCCAGGAGAGGGGCAGGTGCAGCTAGTTTGATCATTTAAATCCACCTGATGAGACGTTCGAAGCTCGATTTCCCAACTGGGTGGGCACGCTGCCCACCTTGCATCTGCCTTATTTATTTCTGTTAGTGCTTCGTTTTCTTTTCCGAGTCCTCTCCTTTGAATGGTAATGTGAGATATCGTGTTAAGTAAAATGAGCCAGGGGCTGCGGAGATTGCTCCGTCCACTGACAAAGTGCCTGCTGTGTAAGCTGGAGGACCTGAGTTAGTCCCTGAGTCCTCATAGCTCAGTTCTGGTGGCACCTGTCGGGGGAGGCAGAGAGAGGCCTGTAGGTCCCTGGGGCTCCCTGGCGGGGCAGCTTAGCCTAATTGGTGAGTTACAGGTCCAGGAGGGACCCTGTCCAAACAAGGAGGTTGGCTCCTTAAGAACGACACTGCTTTCCGAGTGAGCACACACGTATTTGCATCCATATGAACAGTGCCCCACACAAAATGAAACAAAAACAAAAACAAAATAGATGCAAAAAAGACAAATGTTGTACGCTCTCCCTCACAGGTAGAATCTAAATCTGAAGCAAGGAAACACTTTCCTTTTATTTTTATAAACAATTTTTTTATGTTTATTTTATGGGATGAATAGGTGACTGAAGTTTGGGCACTGGTGGCTCATGCCTTTAATCCCAGCACTTGGGAGGCAGAGGCAGGCAAATCTTGGTGAGTTCGAGACCAGTGTAGTCTACGGAGTGAGTTCCAGGACAGCTAGGGCTATACAGAGAAACCCTGTCTCAGAAAATCAAAAATCAAAAAAAAAAAAAAAAAAAAAAAAAAAAAGGTGGCTGGTTCTAGGACGGGGTGTGTGTGTGGGGCAGGCCTGTGTATTATAAGTTAAAACTAATTTTTTAAAACTGAGATGTTCATTATGGCAGAAACAAACAAAAACAAGTTTTAACCCCCTTAGTGCCTTGAAACTTGCAGAAGTTTCCAAAGAACACACCAAATTTCCATCATATCTGACCTAAGACCCCACCCCCTCCCCTTCTAAAAGACAGGGATGTGGCTCAGTTCACAGAATACTTGCTTGCTTGGCTTGCAAGAAGGCCTGGTTTAGTCCTCAACTCCTTCTAATTCTGGGTATGGTACAAGTCTGCCTATTGCATTTAGGAGGTAGAGACGGGGAGATACAAAATTCAAGATCAACTATAGAGAGAGTTTGAGGCCAGCCTGGGCTACATGAAGTTCTGAGAGAGAGAGGGAAGGAGGGAGGGAGGGAGGGAGGGAGAGAGAGAGGTAGAGAGAGAGAGAGAGAGAGAGAGAGGAGAGACTGATTTTTGAGATGAGGGCTCACTATGTAGCCCAGGCTGGCCATGGGCTCTTAATCCTCCTTCCTTGGCTTTCTGAGTTGCAGTGATAATGGGTGCATACCACCATAACTAGTTTTACGACCTCTTTAGTGATGTTCCTTTGGGAAGAAGACACATTAGAGACGCAGACACAGCAGGGTCTGGAGTCTTTTGATCTGATCATGGCAGGGCAGACATTCCCAGGGAGCCCATGAAGCTTGCAGACTTAGCTCCAAAGGATTTGTCAGGGTGGCCAGGGCAGAGGAAGGAAATGTCCCCATAGCGGGAGGAGGAGAAAATGTATTCAAACTCAGGCTTCCCATTAGTGTGGAAAGCACCGGAATTCTGGTTACTCCTGAAAGTGAGTCATTAATTAGCAGATGATGTTTTGGTTTCTGTTTTGCTCTCTCCCTCAATAAAAGGGATTTCTCTTAATTCTTTTACGATATCTTTTAAAACTATGGTAAGATACACATTATGTGTAAAAATTTCATCTTAAACACTTTTCTCGGTATCATTCAGCGATTATTTTCCTGAATTCTGTAAGTACCCACACATTTAAAGGGCCACACACATTTAAAGGGCCACACACATTTTAAAGCATAGAATGCCCTCGCTTACTTTCCATGTGTAACTCCATTAGATATCCTACTTACAGAAAATAATGCCAGGTATTGTAGAATATGGATACAATTGTGTAGGTACTCACAGTGATGCTCCAGCCTCCGTCTCCTGAGTGATGGCATTACAGGCTTGAGCTACCTCACCTGGCTTCTAAATGCATTGATTTTTCCTCCCCTAGACAGGGTTTCTTTGTGTAGCCTGGCTGTCCGGGAACTCACACTGTAGACCAGGCTGGCCTTGAACTCACAGAGATCTGCCAGCCTCCTGAGAGCTGGGATTAAAGGGAAGCTCCAATTATCTTAAAGCCACGGTCTCACAGTGAGGTTAGGACTTTTGATTTAGAAGTGCCAGGCTCTAAAGCCCACCCCACGGACCTCCAGGGTGGATGCTGTCTTTTTCTTTACTCATAGTTAATCTCCACAGTTACTGGAGCAAGCAGCTTCAGCCGCAGGTATTAATCAGCAGCAGAAAGCTTTGCTCCATACTGATACTCAGATAGGCACCTACCTCCCTGACTACTGATGATGTGCAATGGTTCTCACCTGTGAGACCCAACCCCTTGGGGCGGGATGGTCAAATATCAGATAGCTTACATATCAGACATTTACATTAGAATTCATAACAGCAGCAAAACTAGTCACAGAGTAGCAACAAAAATGTTTTTTATTTGTTTGTTTGGTCTTGTATTTCAGGCTTTGGAGCCTGTCCTTGAACTTACTCTGTAGTCCAGGCTGGCCTCAAACTCAAAAAGATCCACCTGCCTCTGCCTCCTAAGTGCTGGTATTAAAGGTGTGCGCCACTAACACCTGGTAGCAACGACAATAATTTTATGATTAGTTTTATGGTTAGGGGAACGGCTTGAAAAGGGTCTCAGCATTAGGAAGGTTGAGAACCACTGACTTGGAGACTCCCAGAGTGAGTGAGTGAGTGCTGGCTTCAGGCGACTCTCCCATGGAGTAAGAACCCATCTGTGATCTCTGCAGGAGTTAGCTGTGCCTGTTGTCCACGATGGTGGCGCCCTTCTGGCCTTTGTCTGTGGTGTGGTTTACACGCTCCTGCAATCGATCATCTCCTACAAATCATGTCCCCAGTGGAACAGCCTCACCACATGCCATATCCGGATGGCCATCTCTGCCGTTTCCTGCGCAGCTGTGGTCCCCAGTATCCTTTCCATATGTCAATTGGGAAATTATGGCAAGGAAAAAGACTGTCCTACCTCGGGCCATAGCAGTAGCTAGAGGGTATTTCAGCAGGGAATGGGACTCACTTGTGGGTAAGTGGAAGTCTACAGCAGGGAGCAGCTTGAGGTTCTTGGGTAGAAGAGGACTCAGGAAACACGAGGTAGTTAAACTTCCTTGAAAGGATTCTTGTACAGGACACTCAGGGCAACCAGACAGCTGTGGACGACTTTCTGTTGTCACACCAACTGTGAGGAGACGGTTGTCAGGCTCAGTGTCGCCGCCGTGGAACCTGATGCAAACAACTTATAGGGGAGGCTTTACTTTGGGTTCACTGTTTTTGAGACTCCATGGTTTCTTGGACTGGTGTGCTCAGACAACATCATGGCAATTGGAGCATGTGGGGGCAGAATTTCTTCATTATGAACAGGAAAGAGAAGGCAAGGGATGGATGGGAGGAAGGGGAGAAGGCCAAGAAAGGCAGGGACAGGAAGAGGAGGTGGGGGAAGGGGTCAGGGACATGACTCCCTCAGCCCTGGCCCAAGGATCGACCCCAGTGATCTGCTTCAGATAGGTCCTACCTCTTAAAGTTTCTAGAATCTTCCCCAGTGTGCCACTTTCTGGAATCCAGTCCCGGGCTGACACAGAATCTTTGGGGGTAGGGATGGAGATTCTCTATATCTAACTGTCTTACTTTTCAGTTGCAGTGAAAAGACACCATGACCCAGGCAACTCACAGAGGGGGAGTTTATTTGGGGCTTATAGCGTTAGAGGGTTGGAGACGGTGGCTATCATGGTATGGGGGCCATGGTGGCAGACAGACATTCATGACACTGGAGCAGTAGCTGAGAACTCATGTTTTGCTTCACTGTCACAAGGCAGAGGAAGGTAACTGGGAGTGGCCAGGGCTTTGGAAATTTCACTCCTACCCCCAGTGGCACACCTCTAAGACCACACCTCTGAATCCTTCCCAAACAGTTCCACACTGAGACCCCCCACCCTTAAAATATATGAGCCCTTGGGGGCCAGTTTTACTCAAACCACCACACTAACCTTAACCAGGATCTCATGAAACTGGGTTTATATTCTAAACTTATTCCAGTTAAATCGAAGGGTTAGGTTCCAGACTACAGTTCAGCTAAGAGAAGAATCTTCGTCCCTCTACGCCCAGGCCTAAAGCACTAAAAAGGCAAGGAAAATATACCAAGTGTCCTTACTCTGCAGAGGGCCAAACAGGAGATCAGTGTACACAATGCAGAAGTGTTAGGTTCAGACAGACTTTGGGAGAAAGGAGTGAGTGGGAATAGAAAAAAAGAAGCAAGGACACTCCGGCCTGTTGACTTCTCCTTCCCACGGGTCGGTTTCACAAGCCATATGAAAATATTTAATTTTTTGAAGTGCTGGGTTAAAGACATCAAATATTGACATTGTATTTAAGGAAACAGCTTTGCGACATCCCGAGAGTCTGGACTCAGAGCCTGCTGGAGACATCACAGTTTGACTAACTCAAATTTCCTTTTAAACCGCTATCACTTCATTTTCTAACTCAGCCATAAAAATAAAGGAAATGAGTAACCACGCTTATATATTCTGATCTCAAGGCAATGAAAGCCGGGCATGGAGGAGCATGTCCGTAGTCTAGAGTCTAGCACACTGGACAGGCAAAGGCAGAAAGGTTAGCCTGGGCTAAGAGACTGGTGTCTTAAGAAATGCTCTTTCCCTCCTTGTCCAGCCTTGACCACGTCTTAGTGTAGCCTGCTCTTTTCTGAAGGGAGGGGAGGGGGAGTAGGTCTGGGGGAGAGGAGAGGGATGGGGGGGAGTGGAGGGAGGGGAAACCGGTCAGGATGTACCGTATCAAAGATCTGTTTCCAAAAATCGCCCCTCCCTCCCTCTCCCTCCCTCCCTCCCTCCCTCCCTCCCTCTCTCTCTCTCTCTCTCTCTCTCTCTCTCTCTCTCTCTAAGGTGCATGGTTTTGTTTTGTGCATTTGTTTGAGACAGGGTCTTGCTGATGGCCAGTAGCCGACCGGTTCAACCAGTTTCAGCCTGCCCTGATGGGATTACAGCTGTGTGTGATTACACTGGGCTCCCTCCCTCCCTTCCTTCCTTCTTCCTTTTTTTCCTATCTTCCTTTTTTCCTTTCTTCATGAAGTATTTAAACCAAGAAAATAAAAGTAATATGGTATTTCAAGGGTGTTAACTTCTCCATCATTTGATCTTATGTCAGATTGCAGAAACAAACAAACAAACAAACAAAAAACCAGGCACTATTTTGTAAACAATGTCCCGGTCTATCGTGGTCAAGCTCCTTGATACATCATGTCCTTTGAGTTCTGTGTTTCTCTCCTGAAATAGAAGTGACATCAGGTAGCCTAAGTGCAATTTTGCTTTTGTTTTTATTATGTTTTGAGATAGCGTTTCAATCTGTAGTCCAGGCTAGCCACGATCACCCATCCCCTCCACACCTACTCAGCCTCCTGAGTGTGGAGATTACACGAATATGCCATCTAACTGGGTTCCTCTTCCTAGTCCTAGAAGTAGCTTTATAGACCAGGCTGGCCTTGAACTCACTGCGATCCACCTGCCTCTGCCTCCCCAGTGCTATGATTAAAAGCATCCACCACCAATGCCCAGCCTTGGAAAAATTTTTAATTAGTAGAATTTTCAATCAAGGAGGAACTGAGCCCCGGCACTGAGAAATGTACTAACATACTGTAGCCTTTGCCCTGAAGACAACTCCTTCCCTAATATCCGTGTCCTGTTTGTGGTTTGAAGACGTTCATACTTCCTCTATGAATTCATTTCCTTAAATCTTTAGCTTGTGCTGACTATAAAAATGTGTAAGTAAGTGGCGTCTGTAGTGTCCTTCATAAACAGTTTCGTATGCAGAAAACAGTTCTTTGCTTCCAACTCCTAGAGGCAAATCACTCGATACTCAAACCAGAGGACCAGGGACATCTTGGCCTCCATTTCCCATCGGAGCATTTCCATGTTCTGTTCTCATGTTCAGAGGGTTCAAATTCCTAGCCAAGCCAGAGCTCAGAGACCCACACAGAAGCAGCTAAGTGCAAGCAACAAGCTCTCCTGAATGGATTTCAACAAACTTCCTCCTGAAGATGTCTGTGACCTCCAGCTCTTTGGTGGTGGCAATGCTTTTTGGGAAGATGGTAAAGGCTCCTTAGAATGTCTGTCCATGTTTCTCCTTGGTATTTCTTTCAACAAACCAGCCTCACAGAAGCTGGGGTGGGAGGGGGGTGCACGCCTTTAATCCCAGCACTCAGGAGGCAGAGGCAGGTGGATCTCTGTGAGTTTGAGGTCAGTTTGATCTACAGAGAGAGTTCCAGGACAGGCTCCAAAGCTACAGAGAGAAACCCTGCCTCAAATAACAAAAGCAAACAAACAAAACAACAACAACAACAAAAAACAAAACTGCCCCACTGACTCTGGAAGAAACTGAGCCAGAGTGAGGCCAGTCCTTCCCATTTTCCTTTCTTTCTTGTTTGTTTCTCTGCACAGCCCTGGCTGTCTGGGAACTCACTCTCTAGACCAGGCTGGCTTGGAACTCAGAAATCCCCCTGCCTCTGCCTCCCTGGTGCTGGAACTAAAGTCATGAGCCACCACGCCCAGCTGTGGGACCCATTATTTCATACCAGGTTTCTTCATTTCTCCTGATTATTGGCTCAAATTGCCTCAGCTTCTAAAGCTTCCAAAAACTTCATAGGATCCAGGTGTGATGGTAATGGTCCAAACCTGACTCAGAAAGAGAGGAGGGGGAGAGGAAGAAAGAAAGGGAAAGAAGAGAGAGAGGTAAGAAGGGAAAAGAAGAAAAGGACAAAGAGAGAAAGGCTGGGCCGAGGTGGCACATGCCTGTATTTCCAGCACTCGATCTCCATGAGTTCAAGACCAGTCTGGTCTATGGAGTGAGTTCCAGGACAGCCAGAGGTACATAGTGAGACCATCTCATAAATAAGTAAATAAATAAATAAGCCAGCAAGCAAACAAGAAAGGGAGAGAGAGGAATGGCGAAGAAAGGAAGAGAAAAAGAACCTTGGAGGGGTTCTTGAGACATGTGGCCGGAGACTTCTGGGCTCTCCAGTCTCATTGTGACATTCCCCTCCAGGCATGGTGGCTTCCTGTTCTCTGCTTCTCCTGTGCTCATCCCCAGGGCTGTTCTAGAGCTGGGCTACTGATTCACCACAGGAATTGTGACTTTCTGCATACTTGAAATGTGGCTGGCCCAGACGGAGATCTTTCACAGATATATATACTCATGAGCAAAAGGGAGTGGGGTTTAGATGACATCATTAGTTCATGAGCAAAAGGGAGAGGAGTTTAGACGACATCATTAGTTCCCTGTCCTTATCTTGATTTTTTGGTGGGTGGTTGGTGTTTTGTTGTTGTTTTTCTTTCTTTCTTTTTTTTGGGGGGGGTCAGGGGTGAGAGGACTTAAACTCATTATTCAGGCCTGGCTGGCTTCAAACTTGTGACTTCTCTAATCTGAGCCTCCCAAGTGTTGGGATTACTGGCACGGGATTCTATTCCAGCTCACACTAATAACTACAGAATTGCAGGTTAAAATGACATCATCACCAATATTTTTATTTTTTTTTAAATTTTGTGTGTGTGTGTGTGTGTGTGTGTGTGTGTGCAGGTTGCCCACAGCTGTCAGAAGAGCCATCAAGTGCTCTGGAACTGTGGGTTACAGGCAGCTCTAGGCTGCCCAGGGTGTGTGCTAGGCACCTAACTCATGTCCTCTGGAGGAACAGCACACACCCTTAACAGCGGGCCCCTTGTCTATCACCATAGGTAGGTAGCACAGAATATATGCTAATATCAAATAATATATCAGTCTTACTGTAGTGACAGTATTTAAGTATGTTGGGCTAAATTAGTTACATTATTAAAATTAATTGCATTTATTTCTTTTATTATTATCATCAGCATTACTATTTATTACTATTATTTGGCTTTTTGAGACAGGGTTTCTGTAACAGTCGTGACTGTTCTGGAACTTGCTATATAGACCAAGCAGCTCTTAAACTCAGAGATCCGCCCGCCTCTGTCTCCCAAGTCCTGGGATTAAAGGTGTGCACCGCCACAGCCCGGCTACTAGCAAATGTATACTTAGAGATTATAGTTCTGTGGGGCGGGGCTGCTACAGAGAGGCTTTTAACATTCATAACTCAGACGAAACCGAACTCTGTGATATCTTCCCTGGTACCCCAAATGCCAGGGCATACTGAATTAATTTTTTTTTTTTTCATCTGAGCCGTGCTGTTCTCCACTCTTCTCTGTAGCTGCCATGCTTTCTGGACTTTCTGAGTGCTGAGACTAAGTCTGTTAACTGAACTCTGCAGCGCTCCCAGACAGCGCGGTGCCTAGTGCCCCGAAGCGGGAAGGGAAAAGGGAGTGGATGAGAGAGTCGGTCATTAGATGATTAAGGAGCGTCTCTGCTCTCGCTGCTTTTATTCTGAGAAGTAGGGAACGGTTGAGCTTTGCAGAATACAAAGGGGAGGGACCTTTCTTGGACTCGTGACTCTGAACTGGAGAGGCCATGGCTTTGGCTCAGCACTTTGGGTTGGGTTCCTGTAGTTTTCTATTTCTAGAGCTTTCTATTTCCCCAGAGCTTTTTTCCCCCTTATCCCCTGCCCTTGCTCATAGCTGGGTTCAGGGAAGGCAGCAGCCTCTGTGGCTGCATCGTTAGGCTGGTCTGCAGGGGACTCCCAAGTCTTACTTTAACAGACTCTTGGCTCTAAAATTTGGGGTCAGAGGAAGGGGCTCCGCTACTTACTATCTAACCACCCATCAAAAGTCTGTTTCTAGAAAGTAGCAGTTTAACTTTGGAAATCAACTTTTTTTTTTTTTTAAAGATTTATTTTTTTATTATGCATACAGTGGTCTGTCTGCATGTATCCCTGTATGCCAGAAGAGGGCACCAGATCTCATTATAGATGGTTGTGAGCCACCATGTGGTTGCTGGGAATTGAACTCAGGACCCCTGGAAGGGCAGGCAGTGATTTTTTACCTCTGAGCCATCTCTCCGGCTATTATTATTATTGTTGTTGTTGTTGTTGTTGTTGTTATTTTATGTGTATGGGTTTTTGGCGTGCACCAGAGCCCCTGGAACTGGGTTATAGTTGCTTATGCATACGGGTTCTGAAATTTGGAACCCGGGTCCTCTGGAAGAGCAGCCAGTGCTCTTAACCACTGAGTCATCTTTCCAGACCCTTGGTAGCTTATTTATGTGTATGGAATGTTCTTTTCATGAAAGCTGTCACCTTGGGAATGACATTTCAGAGGAAATGTATTTTCATTCAGTAGCAGGTGTTTAAAAAAAAAAAAAAAAAAAAACCTGTCTTGGGTCCCATGTCAGACAGTTGGGCTGGCTTTAAGCAGTTTACATATGTGGACTCCTGGAAAGGCTCAGGTTAACAAAATGTAGACACAGATTAAAATTTTACTATACACACCCATCTCAGTCACTGTTCTATTGCTGTGAAGAGACCGGGGTAACTCTTTTTTTTTATAAGTTTTTTTAAAATTTAAATTTGAAACAAGCTTGTTTTACACGTCAATTCCAGTTCCCTCACCCTCCCATCCTCCCCTGTTCCCCCCCACAAACCCCCATCCCATTCCTTTTCTGCTCCCCAGGGAGGGTGAAGCCTTCCATGGAGAGTCTTCAAAGTCTGTCATATCATTTGGAACAGAGCCTAGGCCCTCCCCCATGTGTTTAGGCTGAGGGAGTATCCCTCTATGTGGAATGGGCTCCCAGAGTCCATTTGTACACTAGGGATAAATACTGAGCCATTACCAGAGGTCCGATAGACTGCCCAGTCCTCCTAACAGACACCCACATTCAGGGGGTCTGGATTGGTCCTATACTGGTTTCCCAGCTAGCAGTCTGGGGTCCATGAGCTCCCCCTTGTTCAGGTCAGCTGTCTCTGTGGGATTCTCCAGCCTGGTCTTGACCCCTTTGTTCATCACTCCTCCCCCTCTACAACTGGATTCCAGGAGTTTGGCTCAGTGTTTAGCTGTGGGTGTCTGCTTCTGCTTCCATCAGCTACTAGATGAATGTTCTAGGATGGCATATAAGGTGTTCATCAATCTCATTATCAGGGAAGGGCATTTAAGGTAGCCTCTCCATTATTGCTTAGATTATTGATTAGGGTCATCCTTGTAGGTCTCTGGACATTTCCCTAGTGCCAGATCCATGGCAACTCTTATGAAAGAAGACATTTAGTTGGGGCTGGCTTACAGTTTCAGGGGCTTAGTCCATTATCATCATGGCAGACAGCATCACACAGGGAGACAAGCTGTTGAAGAAGTAGCTAAGAGCTATACCCTGATCATTAGACTGAGAGAGAAAAGCACCTGGCTGGGTGTGAGCTTTTGCCAACCTCAAAGCTTACCCTGAGTGACATACTTCCTCCAACAAGGCCACACCTCCTAATCATTCAAATATATCAAGCCTGTGGGGCCCAAACCACCACAACACCCAAAAACTATTGCGAAGGAATAACTGCATTTCCGTGCTATAATTTGTCGATTTATGTATTTGTGGTACTGGGGACTGAACTCGAGGCCCTAGGCATGCCAGGCAAGTGTTCTGCAGCCAGCCCTATTGTAGCCTAGCTACTGTTGTGATTGAAGGTCCGAGATTACGAGAAGTTCATACAGGTGGTTTGCTTTTAGAATTGTCCTATTTAAGCATTGTGTAATGACTATGTTAATACATTGCCTGAATAGTAAAGGACCTGTTTTCTTCTGCTGTCTCCTTAACCATCTCCTCTTTTGAAGTGATTGCCTGTGCTTCGCTAATTTCTATAACCAAGCTGGAATGGAATCCAAAAGAAAAGGTAAGCACTTACCCTCGGTATAGTTTCTGGTCCTGGGTCTGTGCGACTGTGGCTGGTGAATTCTAGGAAGGGTCACTGAGCTTTCTTAGAAAGGCCCAGGAAGTGTGGAGTGATGTGAAATCAGCTTACTGTGTGTGTGTGTGTTAAAATTAGCTCCAAAAGACAATATGGAGGCAAACTTGCTTCAAGGTGCAATTGGCCGTTATTTGCACTTCATAAATCCAAGGGAGCTGCTGGTCTACAGAGGACAGTGAGCCCTGCAGAGCTGCACAGGGCTGAGGAAGAAAGCTTCGTGGTAGAGACCAGTGTGCATGAGCGTGCACACACACACACACACACACACACAGGTTCACACACACACACACAGGAACGTCATGACAGTTGGGCAATGACAGGAAAGTGAAGTTTGTGGTTGTTTTAGGACTTTTGTTTTCTTTTTTTTTCTGAGACAGGGTTTCTCTGTGTAGTCCTGACACTTCAGTTTTCTTGAAAACCAGGGGTTCTTAATTACCCTGACTCTTGTTTCCAAGGAAATTGGTCAGTTTGGGGTTCCAACTGCTTCCTTAGTATGTGTCAGTTTGTCCAGAACGAGCAATGCTTGGCGGACAGGAGGATGATAGGAAGTACCAGGGGGCTTTCAGGGGACGAGTAGAAGAATGTTTCCAGATAGAAACAGACAGGAAGAGGCCCAGGCCAGTCTAAGAACCAGACTGTGCAGGACCGCCCTCAGACCATTCTCATGAGCTAGTCCCTGCTACCAGCAGGACTCTGTGACGAAGGCTAGGAGGAAGGACAGCTGTGGGAAATCACATCCCCAAGGAAGCCTGGTGAACAGCGCTGTCTTCTCCACGCGCAGTACTTTGAAAGTAAGCAGAACTCTGAGTTGAAGTCCAACACTGTTGTAGAACCGCAGACCACAGAAGCAATAGTCAGTTCTCACCATGGACTAGGGGACAGTATCCTAGGGACCAAGAGAAGGACCCCCCACCTCTAGTTTAACCATGGCAGGTGTAGTTGAACAGTCTGAGAAGGGAGGGTCCTCTAGATGTTTTTCAGAAAGCAGTTTCAGTAAAAGGTTGGGTTAGGAGCTGTAGGTAAAAGGTGAAAGGCAGGCGCAGTGATGGGAGAGGAGATTCGGGCATGCAGTGGAAGCCGTCAGGGCAGCTACCCTACCGGACGATGCTGAAGAAGAGAACATCCAGCTAGGGAGTGGAAAAGTGTGGGGAGGTCCTCGGCAGGAGGAAAGGAACACAAGGCTTCTCCAGTACTTTAATCCTTGTCCACTAGGTGGCAGTGTCTCACCACAAATGAAATGCAATCGAGGGCTCAGCGGGGCTCAACAAGGCTTACCTGCAGGCCCCTGAAAATCTATTAGCTCTGGCCATTTCCTGTCTGTAAGTGTGAAAAGGAGGAAGGCTGAGTGGGTGGCTCATGTTTGCCATCCCAGGACTCTGAAAACCGAGGCAAGAAGGAGCATGCATTTAGGACCAGCGTAAAAAAAGAGTTTTCTCTTTCCTTTACCACCCAGATACTGCCTTCTTCCAGTATCAATAGCTGCAGTGAGAACCTTTAACCAGCTGTCTGGATAGAGTAACAGTTAGGCACTGCCCTGAACTTCCGTGTAGTAGATTAAGATCTTTCTCTGCATAGTGCCGCATACTTGGTGGGAAGGATGAGAATTATAATTGTCATTCAGGTAGCTTAGCCTGCATTTACATATAAACTGGAGAAACAACTCTGTTTCTCTCAGTATCAGACTGTCTTACCACTTTTCTTTTTACAATTTTGTTTAACGAGCATGCGTGCACAGACACACACACACACACACACACACACACACACACACACACAGAGAGAGAGAGAGAGAGAGAGAGCAGAGAACCACTCTCTAAAATTGGCTCTGTACTTCCATCATGTGAGCTCCAAAGACCGGACTCAGGTCATTAGGCTTGGCCACTGTGCCTTTTACCCAGTGAGCCATCTGCCCGTCTTCCTGACTACTTACATTTTTAAAATAAATATTTACATGTGTGTGTGTGTTGCCTTCACGTATGTATGTGCAGCATGAGCATGCCTGGTGCTCCCCCTTGGAGGCAGAAAAGGCTTGGGATCCCCTGCAGCTGCAGTTACAGACAGTTGTGAGCCACCCTGTGGGTGCTGGGAACAAACCCCGGTCCTCTGCAAGAGCAGCCAGTGCTCTTAACTGCCGAACCATCTCTCCAAACCCCTGTCCTCTACTTTTGTAAGCCACCTTCATTGTTTAAGGCTGACCTAGGGTACACTTGGACTCTTCCTGCTGGCACCAAACATTAGTGACCACTATTCTCTGTCCCTAATCAGCCTGGCCAGCATCTCCTCAGTTGTGACCTTGGGTGGGAACCATGCATGGATGTGAACATCTGTAGAGATGTCTACCACAGTTTGACACACATCCGTTAAACCTCTGTGAATGAGAAGGTCAAAGAAAAGAGCTCTTGTCCTAGAACTGACACGTTTACCTGAAATCACAGACCTCAAAGTAAGTGGCTACAGAGTTGGCATGTAAGTTGATCAGAGTGCAGATTAGGGTAAAAAAACAAGAATGTGGAATTTAAGAGTGCTTTCAAGTGAATTTACTTGCAACAGAAAGAAGTACAGATGATCACACACAGAGAGCTGTGGGAGAGGAGACATGTACCTACACACTGGGAGAAACATGGGAAAGGAGACATATATACTCACACACATACACAGACATGGGAAAGAAGAAATTCATACACAGAGACCCAGAAGTGGAGGGGCTCATGGGGGAGGAAGTGAGAGATGCTCACACATGCACATGTGAAGGACCTTCTACTTGTGAAACAGCGCTGGTATATTATTTTCCCATTTTGTCATGGGATGGCTGTGTCTTGCTGGCATTTGCCCCTGCAGCTGCATTTGCCTGGTTGTGCTGAGCAGAACTGTGTGCAGAATTAACAAGTACAGGAACAGAGAGACATGCCTAGAGGGATGCTGGGCTCTGCTGCCCTTGTCTGCATGCACACACTAATTCTCGGGCTGTCCCTGGGAGTGCCCACAAGACGCTTCCGTGGGCAACCGAATCAAGTCCAGCTCTTTCTTTACTGGGGTCCAAATGTGCGTTGAGGTCTCAGCTATTCTGTGGTCCTTGATCTACCTTATTTTGAAGTTATGTACACTGAGTCTTCAAACAGAAAGTGAGAACTTTGGGCAGGTTTGCATTCCCACCAGCCCTGACCTCTCCCTGCAAGGCATCTGGCCTTTCCTCAAGGTTACAGTTTGTGTCCAGTGGGCAGCTTTTTCCTCTCCGGTTTTGACAATATCGTATTTCAGATGATTGCCTTTTAGGCTAAACTCTGTTTCTTTGTTGCTGCTGCTAGGATTATGTGTATCACGTAGTGAGCGCTATCTGTGAATGGACCGTGGCCTTTGGTTTTATTTTCTATTTCCTAACATTCATCCAAGATTTCCAGGTAAGGATCTATCAGTTCAAATCTTATATGAATCTGTGATGATCAGGACTACTAAAAACTTAGAAAAGTTCTTGCATTTTTGGGGAGACATTCTCTTTTACTCTTATAATGTATGTGTGTATTGGAGTGGGGGGAGGGCCTTGTGTTCCCAAAGAGGGACACATTAGGCACATCTCTAACGGTACTTACATGAAACTTTCATGATAATCTGCTATTCAATGCTCAAAGTCCTGGCTGGGTTCAGGTAAATCTCACTAGTCCCAAAGCCCTGAAAATATGACTGTGTAAAAACTTTATGTTGGTGAAAATATTCCCAAGACCAAGAGAAGACAAGACCTTAGCATATTTGACCCCAGGGAGACTCACCTCCTAGAACAAGTGAGTAATTGGATAAGTGATGTGCAAAGCCAAGAGACTTCTCCAGGACCCATTTCAGCCATGTCATGATAGTGGGGTCAAGCTGTTAGGGCATATCCGAGGATGCCACCGCTAATGCCGGAATTGTTTTACTGGTTGATACCCTTGCTCTTCCTCTCTGTAGAGTGTCACCCTAAGGATATCCACAGAAATCAATGATGACTTTTGAAAGAGCAGGAACCCTGTCTCACTCAGTGAACGTCACAGGCAGCTTCTGCAAGTGGCACCCAGGACGGATGGACTTGCATGTCACCCTGACCAGGACGCACCTGTGACGCATCCGGAACTTGAACTTCATTAAGAATTTCTAGTAGTTGTTCTTTTTACAAAGGTATGTTTTTCTAGAGAATGCTTAGCATCAACGACACTTTAACAATACTTTTATATTTTCTCTTTATATGAACAAATTTATATGCAGAAAAGACTAGACATGGCAGAAAATGGGGATATTTTTGTATAGATTATTTAGACTTTTATGTATGGATGACTTATGAAAATACACTAAGTGAAACAATGTTAAGTTTAGTACATTTATTTTTTTTAAGAAAAAAAAAAGAAGCCAAATCAGGGGAATATTCACTTGAAATTTCATTTTTTAAAACACAATGACCTGCATATATTTTCATCTTGAGCACTTATATAATGTAATTCATAGTGATTGTATACCCTAATGGTAAAGATTCAGTAAAGATTAATACTAAAGCACTTTGATTTTTAGTGCATGAAACAAAAATGTTTTAAAGTTAAGGCTTCAAAAGCCATTTGCTGTGCACATTAACCAGCAGAGGTAGAAGGACCCCAGTTTGAAAACCCAGTCTCCCACAGAAGCTGCTATTAACTGGGGGCCCTAGGAACTAATTCCTGGTAGGATGGGCTCCGCATGGCAGCTTAGAAATGACAAACTTCCCGGGGACATGGCATTAGGAGTGAGACTTCTTAGTTTGCCTGTCAGCCCATCAGAGGCCGGGAGGCAGGAGATGGGCTAGGAACCCGGGGACAGGCTGCTGTGTGTTGCGCCTTTCAATGCCTGTGGCCACTGTTAGTGACATCACAGGGCAGGTGTCGTTCAGGCCCACAGACCCCACCTCTTCACCCAGTTCACAACCGACAGAAGAAACCCCAGCTGTTGTAGAGGGAGAAGTGTCCTTGGAGGTGCTGATGATCCCAAGTCCCTTGTCTAAGTCTGGACAAGTGGAGCTGCCTTGAGGGCACATGCCGGGGGCAGAACAGCCCATTGGGACAGCCTTGGTGCTGGGACACCTGGGGACAGAGGGACACCTGGATGGGTGAGGTTCAGCAGACACTTCTGCCATGACACCCTGCATCTTCTCAAGTGTCGAATGGTGGAAACTGGCAACCATTTCTGAGTCTACTGTAATATAATATAATGCCACTTTGGTCACTGGAAAAGACAGTGACCTTTTCTGATTCTGAAGAGAAAGGGGAGCCGGCACCTTTCCTGTGGAAACTGTGGTTGACTGAATCTGTGCCTGCTCTTTGCTTTGGGCAGGAATATTGTTGGAACACCCTAGAAATGCAGGTGGCTTCTCTGCATTTCTACTGGAGACTGGGCGCTCCCTCCTTTAGGGCAGAACAGGTGCCTTTACCTAGAGTTCAACACCGTGCCTTCTGGTACACAGTGGGTGCTTAATAAATAAATACGCATTGAATGTATGCACGTATCAATAATTGAACAAATCAAATAATGACGGGATGTCTGAGGAGCTGGCTAGGGGGTTTACTTACTCTGGTTATTTTGATGTCAACAGCTAATCCATGCTGCCTAGTAATGTTGTCCATTTTGCTTTGTGTACCACGCATGTTTAGTTGTTTGGGCCTCATGACTGTGACAACTCTCTTCTGGACAGATACCACAGAAATTGTTACATGGGCTAGACCTGTCTTGGCAAACCGAAAAGGCCCCAAATCACCCCATTCTGCAGATTCCATGCAACTTCTAACGTTATCCCCATTTTGGTATTATTTTTAATTTCTACAAATGTGTATTTCCTTGGACTGCATGCCCGAGAAGGTAAAATAAAATATTACTTTATTTTAGTAATTTGTCTTTGTTATAAAATGTCACCAGGGTGCTCTTATCTGGGCTGGTTCCAGATGTTTGTTATAAGGGTGTGGCATGGCCTGGGGACATGACTCCATGGCTCAAAACTGCACCAGTACGGAGACCCGAGTTCGAGTCCCTAGCACCCACGTGAGAGCTGACGTGGCTATGGACCCTGTAGCCCCAGTGCTTGGAGGGGTCCGGAGACAGGAGGATGGCTGTGGCTGGCTGACCAGACAGCCAAGTTGAAAAGCCGAGTGCTTTGAGTCCACAAGAGGTCCTGTCACTAGGGAATAAGACAGAGTAAGAGAGAACGACACCTGGTATCCTCGGCCCTTTGCATGTACACACGTGTGCATATCCCTGACACAAATACATAAAAATGAAGCCTTATGTTGTCTTATTTCAAGCAGTGTTATATGTGGGCGTGGCTGGTTCATCTTCGTAGAGTCTCAGACTGCCTCGGGATTTATGTCAGCCAAGACTCTTAGCTACAGAAATCTACTTCTGTTCAATGGCAAGAGCGTCTATTGTCTCAGGTCACAGAGCGGAACTGGCATTAGGGACTGCAGGAACAGAAGGTGGCCCTGCTTTCCTCTTGGTCGGTGTTTTGGGCAGCCTCTCCTCTGGAGGAGTGAGGAGAATTCTAGATCCCTCAGTTCTGCCAAGGAGAGGGGGTTTCTTTAACAGTTCCACCGAAAGCTGGGCTTTGAAACCAATTGTTGCACTGATTGGTTCATGACGGGTCACGTGGCTGGGGCAGGTTTGCTCTGATTGGTCACATGCCTACTTCTGGGAGAAGACACAGTCAGCATCACCCAGAACCGCTGGGATGATGCTGGGTAAAGCTCTCCTTGAGAGCAAATCAAGCTATCCTCACTAATAATCTTTTCAGATTAAAAAAAGCAAGCCATTTCAGTAACACACATGCCTTTTGTTAACAATTAAGTCACGGCTCTTAGGTTTCTGTGCAACCTCTGTGAAGGTGACTAGGCTTTTACCACGGTTTCTCTTTCTCTCTCTCTGTCTCTCTGTCTCTCTCTCTCTCTCTCTCTCTCTCTCTCTCTCTCTCTCTCTCTCTCTCTCTCTCTCTCTCTCTCTCTCTCTCTCTCTCTCTCTCTCTCTCTCTCTCTCTCTCTCTCTCTCTCTCTCTCTCAAATAAGGAAACTAAGGGCGGAGTGGTCCAGCGACCCAGCGAGCAGTCTTCAGCCCCATGGCGACAGACTCCATCCGGGACTCTTTTCCTGACATCTATTCAACTGAACCCTTTTGTTTTCCCTTTTAACACTAACAGAGGATTCCACAGAAATTGCAAATTGCATTTTATAAACCAAATTAAGTACATCAGTGCTGAACTGTGTTTGGGTTTCCTAACATCCCTTACGTGTGGCATCCTCCCATGTTCCCATTTTTTCCCTCACTTGGAGACACGCTGGTCTGGAGTTGGGGCCTGGAATGAGGAAAGGGGACTGGTGGGGGGAGGTAAGTGGTCTCCCACTCTCTCCCTCCCCGATTCTGGCATGCCCGTACGCTCAGCTGTCTCCCCACACGCATACTCTTGGTCTGGCTCTGAATGCCCCACATTCTCAAGCCCAGAATGTCATGCATCTGCATCATGTCGGTTGCATAAGAGAACAACCGCACTGAGGCCCTGGAGGGGAAGCTGTTGGCTCCCCTCGGTCACCCCCAGTAGATTCGTGTTCTAAAACGAAGGGCAACAGAACCCCAAGCTCATATTGGATATGGCAGCGACCTCCGAAGTGGATGCTTGGAAACGGCTGGAGGAGACATCAGCAATGTGTGAGGCTGAAGCCTGGGTGCCCAGACGTGCTGGGAAGCCTGTGGTGTAGGCAGCCCCCACCCTCTTCAGGAAGCCTTCTGTGCTCCCCAGCCCCGAGCCGGGTTAGACCTGGATTGCTGCTCTCTGATAGGAATACATTTTGGATTCATTTAAAAAGTTGAAACAGGACCTGGTCCTGTAGCCCAGGCTGGGCTGAACCTGACTTTCTGGCCAAGTCATCCTATTTCAGCTTCCCAAATTTGGAAATTACAAGTGTGAGGCACCAGATCCAGCTCAAGGCACATAGGACATTTTACCTATAGGACTCCTAACTGATAGGTTAGCCAGGGGTCCTACCAATGACAACTCTAGAAAAGAGATCCCAAGGTAAGTGGGGTTTGATCACAGACACTCAAGTCCCTTGAACCATAGGCTATTAAACTCTCTCTCCCCCTCTCTCCCTCCCTCTCCATCCCCCCCCCCCCCCCGATTCTCTGTATAATAGCCTTGGCTGCCCTGGAACTCACAGAGATCCACCTCTTAGGCCTCCTGAGTGAGTGCTGGGATTAAAAGCACATGCTACCACCACCTGGCACTTGTAAGCATTTTGAATAAACATACTGTTTATTCATTGCTATTACAGTAGCAATGAATGATGTGTCCTCTGAGAAGCCATTTTACTTTGCAGTATTTGCATTTAGTCAATTTACTCCTTTCCCTAAAGATAACTACTTTAAAACTTAAACCTCACACTGAGAGGGGAAACGGACATGAAATCCCAGCTGATAGCTGCTTGGAGGTCAAGAGCCAGTTTCCTCAGAGTGAGGCCCCCAGTGAGTCACGCAACCTCCATGGGAGGGCCACACACACATCCACAAGTACATGGACACACAAATTGGATTTGATGGGTGAAAAGAAAAGAAAGTTGGGTGGATAGGGAGGGGTGTGACTCACGAGGAGGCGGGGAAAGGGTGAATACGATCAAGAACTAATAAAAATAATTGTGGTTACTTTGCAATGAAAATAAATAACAGCGCAAACCTTAAAAATAAACTGTAATTTTCTGGCGTATGTGTGGGGTTGGGTGTGGTACATGTACTGCAGTGTGTATTGAAATCAAGGGGTGACGACTTCCTTATACCACTGGATCTGGGGATCAAACCCTCCGGACAACACATTTGCACAGGAAGTGCTTTTACCCACTGGCCTATAGATAGCTACTTCCATTATTTTGTTTGTTTTTTTAACATAAGCAAAAACAAACACGTCTAATTTTCTCCTTTAAATGTTTATGTCAAGTACAAAACTTAAAGCTGTGCTACTAAATGGTGCTTTGAGCCTTCTTTTTCCCGAATGGATCTTGAAGATACATTTGTTAATACAGATAGATCTTCCTGGGGGCTGTTTGCAGCAGATATCTGTGTGGCAGAGGTGGCCTCAAACTCCTGCTTTTTTTTTTTTTTTTAAAGATTTAAAGTATGCATCTGTCTGTGTGTGCATCTGTAAATGCCTGTGCCACAGAGGTCAGAATCCCTGCAGTTGAAGTTACAGGTGGTGTGAGCCATTGGCAGTGGGTGCTGGCAACCACACTTGGGATCTCTGAAAGGCAGTGTGTGCGTTTAATTGCCGCCCAGCCATCTCATCAGCCCTGGACCTCCAGGTATCTTCCTAGTAACTGCTGGCTGTGGGAAGACTTCCATCTACACCTGAATTGAATAGCTGTCACTTGAATCACTCAGCTATTATTTCTTTTGCAAGTTTCCTGTGGAACCGGTAGGTGTAGGGCTTCCTAACCTCTGCAATTAGAGCAACTGAACTTGTTTTACACGCATGTGCAAGAAAATCGGTGTGTGATATTTCCGTCATGAGGTGCTGGGACAAAGGAGAAGTGCACAGCAAACACTACACGTCAGCTCTTCGAAACTTTTCACTACAATATTTTCTGTTTCCAACAAGTACAGCCACTTCCTTCTACATGGAGACCGCCAGGTATGAGTCCACCTTTGCCAGGGACCAAATCATCACCAAAAGTAAATGTGGGTTGGGCACCTACCTATGTGGATTTCTGCAGCAGCCGCTGTGGAACAGAGGCCTGCTGACATGTCATTGACCCTCCACAGACTGTCCCTTCATTTAAATGCCCACTACAGGAGGGGCAAGGCTTTGGGCTCGCCTATCAGTCAACAGAACGCTCCTGACATCTGCAGCTCCCCTTTGACTCCCATGTTCTTGCCTTGTGTGGTCAAGATGGTCCCCAGTCTGACGGGGTTTCAATGGAGCCTAGCAACGGGCAGCAGCTGCAGCATTGACTTTCCTTTCTCTATCCCTTCCAGCCCCCGGCATCATATGTAAACACATACATATATTTACATCTACATATGCATATATATTTACATCACTTTGAGGATGGGGAGAAGGAAAGAGGGGGAAGGGAAGGGAGGGGAGAAGAAGCGTGGAATTTATTAAAACAATCAAGGCAGGGGATGGTTATGATAGCCCCAGTACTTGAGAGGCAGAGTTAGGAGGGCCACGAGTTTGTGGCCAGCCTACATTTATCATCTCAGGCCCTGTAAAGCCCGTCCCTGGTATTACGTGGGTTTATCCTCTTGTCACTCTCTTCATAAAGGGAGAAAGTGTATAGCCATTAAACAAGAATTCTGCATTCTCCAGTCTCCTTAGGCCCTAGAAACAACAGTTTTACTTTCTGCCTCTAACCCTTGGGATCAGGGGGTCTTCATCACCTGTGACTGGCTTGTTTTACTTAGCACGTTGTGCTTCAGGTTCCTCTGCCTTGTGACAGGATCACCTTCCTTTACAAAGCTGGATGGCATCTCACTGTACAATAGCCCACATTTGACTTAGGCAGCCACTAGCCAAAGGACACTGGCTGCTTCCATATTTCAGCCATTGTGTATGATGCTGGTGTCAACACAGGCGAACAAACATCCTTTGGAGTTCCTGTTTCCAGCTCTTTTGGGAATACACTCACAAGTGAAATTGGTATATTATCTGGTAACTCATGTTTTGTTTTTCCCCTTAGCTTTTTAAAACAGGATATCACTTTGTAGCCTAAAGCTGGCCTGGCCCTCATCCTCCAAGTACTGAGTCTACAAGTATGAGCCATCCTGCCTGGTTATATGCCCTCTCTCTCTCTGTGTCTCTTTCCTCTCTCTCCCCTCTGTCTCTGCTACTGAATCACACCCCCGGCAATCCTTT